TGACTTAAGACACATTAGTCAGACATTCTAAATGAATATACACACATACGTTCACTCAGTTTTTTGATAAGACACTTGTACATATCAATTTTTGTAAATGAATATCAGATTTTAACCAATTGTAAATTTTCTAATACAAAATTTAAGATTGTTACATTCATTTTGCAGTGTTTATTATTCATTAAGATGTCAATGTCACTTCACATTATCATACATAAAGATTTTAAGAGGTTGTCATTGGTGATTTTGTAATTTTTTGCCAGGGTAAATTATTCACTAGTAAAAGGCCCTGTATTTCATAATGATGAAATGTTAATGTTGTTACACTGATTTGATTGTTAGATGTGGCATTGAAATTTTCTAAGAGACATTATCATTATTTCAACATATAATGCCAAAAATTTTGTTACACAAAATTTTTTCAGATGGGTGGGGCATGTAACGGACTATGTTTCACATGAAAACAGAGAGGTAGCATGAGTGAACAGTGAATTGTGTTGACCATGTATTTTGAGAGGCAAATGTGAACTCCACGTTTTTGGAGAGTAAAATTGTGTTTTTGTCAGAGCGGTTGTTTTCCACGCTTTGCTGGTAATAAAGTATGAGTTGACTGATATAGTAGAGAGCTGAGCGCAGAGCAGTAGAGTCAGTAGCGTGAGAGCTGTGTGATTAGACAGTTGACAGTTTAGTGTGAGGACGTGTCTTTTATCAATATAAAGTGTGTTCAATAAAGTACTGTAAGTTTAACCAGGATTCAGTATTCTTATTTGCGTGCCCGGATTATAAGTGGAAGAATGAAGAAGCCTTAGTCGGCATCCTGAAATATCAACATAAGTAACCATACTACTGACATAACCCACAGCATAAGAAATAAGCTCCCACGCCATGTCAGAGTAGTTGTGTTACATCATACTAGTAGTTAGTAGTAGTAGTAGCCTCAAAAGTCAAAATAGATAATTTAAATTGAGTAGCCTAGGCCTAGGCCTAGTCACAGTGATTAATTTTATAGACCTAAAATTGATCATATTATAAATTTATTATATCTAGCATTTACAAATAAAATGTGTTCATAAATTTAGTCATGTCAAAACCGTGAGCTAAAAAAGGTTAAAGAGATCAAACAACCTAAAGCCTAGCCCTGTAAAGCTACATCTGAGACGAAAGAGGAGCGGAAGACGGAAAATAATGATCTTTCGTTTCTGTTAAAATTCTGTTCCCGTAGGCTGTGTCCGCTAAGATTACTTCCGCTTCCTCAAATGGAAACTGTTCTTTAATAGGTAAATACTAACTGTACTTTCTTTTCTTTTTTTTTTTTTTTTTTTTTTTTCAACCTTACCTGTTTTTTTTTTTTTTTTTTTTCTTTTGATTTGGCTTTTTTTTTTTTTTTTTTTTTTTTTTTTTTTTTACAAGCCTACACGTATCTTGTTTTATTTACTTCACATGGACATGGCATTATATTATCCTTTTAATTGTTTTGATTGCTTATGCTACATATACTCCTATCAAAGTATATTTTATAACATTTTATATAATTTTTTTTTAGTTTTTTTAATTTTTTCCATTTCGAATCATAATAATATAATTAACAATAATAATCATATGATTATTTATGATTGATGTTTTTAATATCCCCTTTTCTATTTATTATTGTGTTTACATGGTGGTGTATTACCAAAATTTACTTTTTAAATATACAATTAAAGCATTAGAAATGTATAAGATATGATTAAAGTATTAGCTCATTAGACGTTCGGCATGTACGGAATCTTTTCATTATAGCGCATTCATCACTAAGGCGACTGAACATGGCGTTGTCAGAAACTCCACTTAGACAATTTAGTCACAATTGTCTTGAAAAATTAACTGTCAATTATTGTCAAGTCTCCAATCCATTTTAAATTTGTGTTCAAATCTACGTAAAATCAAGTTCCCTTTTAATATTATTTTCCGTAATTCAGTGTTTTAGAATTGAAGTCTACTTCAGAGAATTGAAGTCTACTTCACTTCAATGTTATTAACAATGTTATAAAAACTGCAGTCTACTTCAAAATCATGTAAGTAGTAAATTGTTGTAAATGAATGCGTTTTTTTAAATTTATACTGTTATAGAAAAGTATATTAATAAGATAGTTATAAGTTGTAGATAATATACTAATACTATACTTTCAATAGCTTTTTTTTTAAGTGTCTAAGACTAACTGCTAGTCACATTTAAACACCATATGACATATGATCATATGATAATTAGGCCTACATTAAATAAAAGTCACACAGACAAGTACAGTCACACACCACACTGGTCAGTGTCCTCTGACAGACTACAGGCAGTAGGTATTCACTTTGGCATCTTGGACATCCCCATCACAGGGAATACTTCATTTACTAGTGTCTTATAAGCACACTACTAAGTATTTAGTTATAGTTTAATGTTATCCTCCCATTGGCACTAGTCCTAGCCCTAGCCCTAGAAAAGTTGCACACGAAACCTCAAGAGACAACTATTTCCTTTGAGTTTGAGTTAGTCATTAGTGTGTTCTGAGTGTGCAGAGTTTCTGCTCTTTTCAGTTCCCAGTTGAATATTCAACACTGTTGACAGTTGAATATAAAAATTATAGCATGCTTGACATCATTATTAGGAAGTTAGTAGAGTATTTAGCTTTTCTGAGTTCAGTCAGATACTGAGTTGCAATTATACTCAAACCAGTATAATATATACTATGAGTTTTCAACAAATAATATTATCTCCTGGATTTGGTGAACATAATTATTGAGACCCATGAATCTATGATCATCACATGCTGTATTTTCTTGTTCAAATAAAAACATTTCTTATATTCAAGTATGGAAACATCTTTCAGAAGTGTACCAAGTGAATTAAGAAGATCTCATTTTTGCACAAATATTTTTTTGGGGTCCAGATTAAGATGCAGCCAGTCCAAGACTCAGAGCCATTACCTTGGCCCTGATATATTTAAGGAGCTCCATATATTTAAGGGACCCAAAGTTAGCAATTAAAATTCATCTTAAATCTAAAAAATCATGCGAAATCTCTACTAAGACTTAACTTAAATTTTATTTGCTTACTTAAGTTAAGTGAATTACATTTAACCTCAGTATGAAACAACTTTAGTTTAATAAGTCAAGAAAATGTCAGTGACTTCCATCTAGTTGTTAGTAATCCACAGCAGAAAGTAATGGCCAAGTGAATTACACCATTTAATGCTAAACAAGTCACATCATTACTGAGATGGGGGTAATAAAAATGTAAAAAAATAACCAAAAGTGAGCACTAACTTAGTTAAGCCATGCATAATTAAGCATTTTTTTTATTGCAATGTCAGTTACTATTAAGGCTAAAATAGGAGTAATCAAGGTATGTGTGATTGCAAGAGCTCACAAAATAGTATTATTATATAGTAATTGAAATGAAGTAAACTGCTCTTCAGAATGGGATCTGCTGCTAGCACATCAGTGGCCTCAGCTTCAACAAAACAACCTACTCAGTTGTCAGCAAGGAATATAAAGTACAGTCAGTCTAAGAATTGTAAGTTGAATAACAATATTTTTAAAATTATTTTGGTGATTACATGTAACATAAATAATTAATAGTTTGCAATTGATCCTTAAGATCAAGGATATTTATTGTGCTGATATTTCATTTATTGGTAAATAAAATATGGCAATGTTATTTTCTCTTGATAAGACAATGCTTTATTTAGCATTTATGTTTTAAATGAACAAAATTGGAGAGTACAGAGAAACAATTTCATCCCACCAAGTTGTCTGTCTTCCATTTTCAGGGGATGGGTGTTTTCTCATACTTTTCCTACTCCCTAAGAATAACAATGCTGCTACGCTAAAAATTCCATTCCACTCAGCCATTTGCCCATAGTTTGGTGACTCCCTAGATGCAGATGCACTTCCATTGCAATAAACATTTTACTTACTTATATTTATTTATGTTAAATACAAGTAGCAGAAGCATTAAAAAAATGTTTCAATTACTGTACAGTTTTGGTAGCATTGATGCTCTAGGTTAGTGGTTTTCAATGTGAGTGTTATGGTGGACTAGCGGACTGGCGTGTACCGATAGCCAGCCAGGGAAACAGCGCCCATGCCCAGAGAGACTGGACAGAGTGTGTGTGTTTATGAACTGTGTTCCGGGCGCAAGCAGAAAGTCAACACCTGATTGAGAACTTGTATTTATGAATGTATATGTTTATGTTACTTGTTTGAAATAAAAACAATGAAAACATAACAAAATGGTGGCCAGTATAAACATAACAGTGTGGTACCGACAAGCGTCAACAACACAGTATGATGGTCAGTATTAACTCAATACAAAACTCAGTACAACCGAATGGTAGTTTGATACGCACAAGTGAGTTCACGGGACATTCGGTAGTTTGATACGCACAAGTGAGTTCACGGGACGGAGGAGGTAAATACACAATGGAGTCAAATCTGACCCAAGCTGACATTATCCAAAAGCTCATACAGCAGAGCGAGCTACTTTTGAAACTAGCAACAGGTAATATGGCTACTAATATGAAGTTTACACATTTCAATAGTAACGAGGAAACGTTCACAGACTACTACGCTAGATATGTGACCTTCGTGTTGGCAAATAATGTGCTAAAGGAAAGGCAGGCACATATTTTTTTAACAAGCCAGACGCCAGAGCTGCATAAAATGTTATCAACCATCGTACAACAAAAAGAACCACCACAAACATTTTAAATGACTTGAACATTGAAGAAATATATAGAATAATGATGGACCCCACCAAATTTGTAATCAGGGAAAGGTTCAAATTTTGGTCTGATTCTAGTAGAAAACCAGGGGAAACAATCAAAGAATTGGCAGCTAGGATCAGACAGGATGCAGCGACTTGTGAGTTTAGTAATATCAAAAATCCTCTAGATGAAGCTTTACGAACAAGATTCATGTGCTCTGTAAAGAATGAGGCCGCATTAAAAATTTTGTTTCGGATGAAGGACACTGAACTGTCATTCAACAAGGCAGTAGAAATAGCTGTTGAAACTGAGGAGGCAGCTAAATGTGCCAAAGAAACAGTCCATGAAGAAACTCCTATCAATAAAATTCAGTCACAAAGAAAGAAGCAACATCAGACAGCAGAGAAATTTTCTCCACCTCAAAGACAGGATTTTCCGAGTTGAACTTGTGGCAGGTGTGGAGTAAGAGGCCATAAAGGAAATGTCTGCAGCAGGTACAAAGACGTGATCTGCCGCTTTTGCATGAGAGAGGACATCTAGAAAATGTTTGTCTAAATAAGAAAGAGAATGCTCCAAAACAGAAACCGATTCATCTAAAAAGAATAAGAAGGCAAAACCAAATTAAAACTATCCCGCCCATTATTCAAGAACTCATTTTAGAAGAAAAGAGGTTTGCATTTGAAATTGACACTGGAGCCGGAGAAAATTTTATGTCTGAATCTGTTTGGCAAAAGCTGGGACAACCCACATTGAGCCCAGTATCAGTGAAGTACGAGTCAGCGAATGGTGAGGTACATAATGTTTTGGGAAGTGTGCAGATTCAGGACCTACTTAATGTTTTGGGAAGTGTGCAGATTCAGGCTGAGGCAGGCGAAATAACTACAAATCTGTCATTTGTAGTAGTGAAAAACCACAGCTTAAACTTGTTGGGCAGAACTGCAATAAAGAACCTCAAGATTTCGATAGACACAATGTTTCAAACAAGGACAAATCACATTGCTAATCAAAGCTCATTGATTAAAGCTCGTGAACAAATCCATAAATCAACTGAACATTGCAATGCGGATACTCTTAGTTGTCTACCCTCAGGGCCTGATGACATTTTTGATGTTGAAGAAAGTGAAGTAGACATGGATTCTGTATGTATGATCAAACAAATCAGTTTACAGATCAGACCAACAGACCCAGGAGTCCTTGCGAAAGAGTCACTTAAAGATTCTACTATGTCTACAGTAATGAGATATTGTCAAGAGGGTTGGCCGTCCTCTACAAACAAAGAACACTTGAACAAGGAGGCAGCTAATATAGCAGCTTTTAAAAATATTCAAGACTCTCTCTCCGTGGAATCGAATTGTCTATTTTATGGTTCAAGAATTGTGGTACCAAAAATGCTACAAGCTCAAGTTCTCCAAATCCTGCATACAGGACATTTTGGAATCGAGCGGATGAAACAGTTAGCAAGATCATCTGTATATTGGCCCGGACTTGATACTCAAATCATGGAGATAGGTCGAACATGCCAAGCATGTGCAGAACACGCCAAAGACCCAAACAAAGCAAGTATCCACCCATGGATGTTGCCAGAAAAACCATGGAGTCGAGTGCATATCGACCATGCTATTAACTTTCAGGGATCATATTGGCTGGTGGTGATAGATGCTTATTCAAAGTACCCGTGAATCCACAGGACAACATCTACATCGACCAAAGCCACCATTGATCTTCTGGAGGAAGATTTTGCTCATTTCGGCTATCCACACACCATAGTCAGTTACAATGCTACTAGCTTCATCTCAGAAGAATTTCAGCATTGGTGTAAGGAGAGGGGTATTGTACATCTTACAGGTGCTCCCTACTATCCTGCTACGAATGGAGCTGCAGAACGACTGATTCAAAGTTTCAAGATATCACTAAAGAAATCCTTATTACCTTTAAAGGAATCTCTACAAGACTTTCTGCGTCAGTAACGTAGGACACCATTGGCAAGTGGATTATCACCTGGCCAACTGCTGAACAATCAGCAAATAAGAACACTTATTGATACTCTAGTTCACTCAACTGCTCATCGAGCACAGGGACAGCATCTTAAAGAAATAGCCATCCGCAATGGGACAAACAGAAGTCCTAGTCGATCATTTAACCGGGGAGATCTATGTTACGTCAGAGTATATGGAACAGCAACAGACTCTAAACCATGATGGGTTTCCTGTACAATCATCCAAGTTATGCGTCCACATCTTTTCAAGGTGAAGATTTATCCGAATGGTCCCACATGGAAGAGACATTTAGACCAACTTTGCCCCAGGTATGAAGCAGAAAAAGATTCAGAACCAGCTTTGGACATAATAACAGGAAGTCTTTATCCAACAGCTCAGGCAGCTCTGAGTCATCAACCGTCTACACATCCAGCAACTTCAAGTCCACCTAAGAAGAAGATTAACCCTCGACATCCAGGACCTTCAGACTATGTCATACCCAGGAGATCTCAAAGACAATTTCAAGCACCATTGGTACTGGACTTGTAATTGTTCGGGGAGGTGTTATGGTGGACTAGCGGACTGGCCCGTACTGATAGCCAACCAAGGAAACAGCGCGCATGCACAGAGAGACCGGACAGAGTGTGTGTGTTTATGAACCGTGTTCCGGACGCAAGAATAAAGTCAACACCTGATTGAGAACTTGTATTTATGTACTTAATAAAAACAATGAAAACATAACAGTGAGTAAAAACGCCCTGAGGGGCGGTGGGGTTGCTCAGGAGTGCGGTGAAAGGCTTGGGAGATTTTAAGGGTGCTGGAACTCTCAAAGAGGGCATTAGGGAATAATAATCCTGGAAATAATTATTTTTTCAAATTAAAATTAAAAATTTAAAAGGAAGATTAAGACCTATATTTTTTTTGTCATTGTCAGTAAGAAGGAAGAGTCTATGACGGAAACAAAATTCTCCACACAACGGATCTTTGATCTGTTGTTTAAACAGATATACAAGTTGTGATTGCTTATCCCAACAGATGAATGTTTAGATCAAGACAACACAATAGTTGTATTTCTTATTTTTGTACAGTTCTTTCGATTCAAGAAAATCTCATTAAAAGCATACGATTTTTATAGAGCGCCAACTATGAATGGGTTTACCCTCCATTGCTGCTCGTTTGAGAAATTTGTTTAAATTTATTTTTAAATTTTATTATTTTTTTGTGTCATTCATCCCCAACATCTAGTTGCAAAAATGTCAGTGACATTCTTTACTGCCTTGAATTAAATTTAGCCCACATTCACAATCATTGACTATTCCTGGTGCTCCCTGTTGAGAAAGATGCAGTATATTCTGCTTCATATTATCATTCATTGAGACTAATGATCCTCACCACACACCACATTGCTTATACCAAGGGTTTTGCCTTAGTAGAACATTTATTATCATATGCCGCACCATGCAATGCTCAGTGTACATTCTAATCATTATATTTTGTGTCTCTATAACTATAAGATTGTTCAAGTGCAGTTTAACCGCTTTTTCACAAGGAGATATCATGTAATTATAAAAATAGTCAATGAAGTTTCTGCTAACAGACTAAACTCCAGGAATTTAACAAAAAATTTTACTTTACAGTTACTAAGTCCATGCTTCCATCACATTAAGAATAATTGACAAGTGAAGATGTTAGATATCTAAAACTCATGCAAAATAATAATCCTACCAAAGTCCTTCTTGATCAAATTAATTATCTGATAATTGGATTTATACAAAATTAAAGATTCATTGGTATTTTTATTAATTGTTTAGTTTATATGTTACAATTTTACATTTTGCTGTGTAATTATCTTCAATAGGTGGTCACACAAACTTTATGCTTATCATTGGGTGGTGGGCGGTCAAGGCGAGTTTATGGGCTCAAGGGGAGGATGTTCAGAAAAAATTTGAGAAACACTGCTCTAGTTGAATCTCCTAGTGAAACTATGGTTCCTCTTACAGTTTCATACATTGTTTCATGTGTGTTCATTGATCTAATTGAATGTGTTTGCAGTGCACCTATTCCACTTGAATTTTGATTTCATTCAGTCATTTGAAATTTGACAAGATAACATTCCATGGAATTGCCCTCATTCTGTCAAAGCAGTCTCATGTTACTTTGCCTATATAATGGGTAGACGGTTGACAATAACTTAAAAGTAAATAATATCTCAATCCTAAATGTATCTCTTTTTTTTAGCCTCTACTGCAATGACACAAAATAAACATGATGACTTAGAAGCAAGAAAAATGTTTATACAACCAACTGATTCTGAAGATGAAACTGTTTCAAATGAACTTGAACTGGTAGAGAATAAAGAAATAAAGAAGGTCACAACCGCCCAAAATCTGGAAGACTTCATGAAAAAGCTGAGTTTATCCCACGATGATTTGGAAAAAAGTTCAATGATATTAAAAGAAAACAAGCCACTGTTTAAACATTTGAAGTGTGCTGTTGCTGCTGTTCTAGGCCTGAAAGATACGGAAGCTCAAGCCTGCATGAACAGTCTTCTGAATTTAGACAGTGTTTTTTTCAAACTGAGCATTAAGGAGCGATCTCAATTTGGAGACTTTATGTCCTTTATTGGTTTTTGCAAAGAGAGTTTTATCAGATATAAAAATATTTTAAACTCAAATGGTTTTGAGTACATTGATGATCAAATCTTTGGAGGAGAGACAAGTGTTGAAGGTTCTGATCGACAAATTCTGTACAGTATTCGCACTTGCTGGTGGAATTTTTCAGATAGTAGTAACAATTTTGGGGTTAGACTAGCTGAAGAGGGTATTATTCAAGAATCAACTCAAGATCTTTCCAAATTGATTGGTGCAGATGGCAAAGATCTAGTGAGTAAGACTGATATTATTGCAAATATTTATTCTGTAGATAAACAAGAACACACTTTTTAAATATGTAGTTCTAAATTAAATGTTAAATATTATGACAAAGAACTACATCTTACAATGAGAATATTTTCTTGACAAAAATTTTAGTGTTTTGTCTGCTGTCAACGTTTTAACTTTTAATTTTAGCCTGAATCAGCACAAACATAACACTTATAGGCACAGAATAGTCTTGAGAATAAATAGACAGAGAAACCAGAAAGCCTTTTAAAGTATTCGAGTACCAGTCATAAGAGTGTTGGACAGCGATAAACCTGTAAAGTAGATTGATTAGACACAAACAATATGTGTAAATAAAACAATATATGTTCAGCTTTAATTATGATTTTAAAAATTACAAATTTAGATGTTTCTGCAAATGCCTTCATCTGTACAAAAAAACAACATTTAACTAAGTATAAATTAAATTTACATAATATATATAAATTAAAATAAGAAAAAAAGCACCAGTCACCAGTTGATTGTGCACCTGATTATAATAATTACATACAGTGACTGTGCTGCAGTTCATCCATAAATATTGTGTATCATTTTGTCTGGAATGTGGATGAATTTTATTTGTGATTTAACAAACCTGAGTCATTGCATTTTCCGAGACACATGCTTTACCCTTATCTTAAAATAAAACAGATTATTCATCTCTGCCCACTACAAACTAACTGACACCCATAGTTATTTATGGTATTCATTCTCCCACCCAAAAGCGTGCAAAGATTCCATACCTTTTTTCCCAATTTCTTAGACTACATCACCTTTACCTGTCAGATGAAGAATTTTTAGAAAGGGCAAATAAAATGATGGACTTCTTCCATTCTGAGAGTACCCCTAGTTTCAGCACTCAAAAATGTTAGAACAATCACACATTATCTGGCTTTATTTAAACAAAAATTAGGGTCAAACATAGCTCATCCTTACCTACCACCCTCACAATGTGATGCCCCAAAAAAATATTCACAGAGAACTATCATATTCTCTTCGCTGATTCTGAAACCAACAGGGTATTCTCATCCCCTTCAATTATCATTTTCTGATGGGATAAAAATCTATGTGATCTTCTGGTTCACATTTGCCTTTGAGCTGACCCTTCTCAGGTTTGGATTAAACTATGTTCAAGAAGTCATTGTAGGCTTTGCCCCTATGTACTGGAAACCGAACACATTGGCCTTCCTAAGGGGTCCTTTCCCACCAAAGAGTGCCTCGTTTGTATTAGTTGAAATGTGATCTATGTGATTGTTTGCAGAATATGGTTTTCCTTTTATATAGGTGAGATGGGAAGAAGGCTATCTAATAGGTTCAGTGAACATCTTCGAGATACTGAACAAAGTAAACCATCCCCAGTCTCATCCCATTTCAATGGAGGTGAACACAGGGGAACATCTGATGTATCCATCAAGTCTCTAATTTTTTGCACTAATACACCAGCAAGGGTGAAGAATAAAAACAAATTAATTCACACTTTCGAAACCATATCACCATATGAAATCAATCAAATACTCTCTAACTAGTGGTCCTCAATTTCTCTCCTTTTCTATTCTAAATTTTTGTAATTTAAAATATTAATTTTACAAAAGGGTTTTGAGTTTTGTGCAGTTTTTTTAAATTTTCTATTAGCTCTTCTAATATTTATTTATATATTCTTAGAAAAATTCATTTACTTTTGAGTCATCCTTTGGGGTGCTACACAATGTTGCTAGGAATGACAATCTCCGGCAGCTCTTCAGAGACAATAAAGTTGTGGATGTCGCAGCAAAGTTTCTCTGTTATGATGACCTACCAAGTGAGTTTACACATATTTCATAACTAAATTTTTTTATATTTAAATTTAATGACAATAGTACAGTCATAATAAGTCCTTTCACTGAATCTGTAAGTTGTAACTATAAATTCAATTAAACTGAAAAAGTCAAAGTTAAATTATTGGTGGCTGTCGCATACATGTATTGAACTTTCAGAACTTATATCACAGTAATGGTAATAAGAGGGTGAGACTGCAATCACTTTAGGTTGAGGGAAATAAGCGAAACAAAGCAGGGGAAAACCTGAAAAAAAGGATGCAAAAATAAACAACAAAGAATGGTTCTTCAGTGAACAAACATCAGTGAAAATATTATAAAATTATAAATAAACACTTAGCTGCAATATAGCATCAGAGAGGCCAGCAAGAAGAATGTGATAGAACGTAAGTGGGTAAGAGAGTTAATATAGAGTTAATATGGGCAAAAGGTGATTAAAGAGAGAAAACACAAGTACAGTTCAATTGGTTGTAACAAGGAGGGTGAGGAGCAAAATCTTTAACAAGTGCAAGTTTCAAAAGTCTGAATTGGTTTGTTCTCTAAATTTCACCCTGGTGGCCGTGCTGGTAGAAGACACAATATCACATACTTCGCTTGGTTCTCTTTCCGATATCACAGGAAGAAATGAAAATTAAATTTGTTATAAATTTTTTTTTAATTTTATATTTTGAAATTTGATTTCAGATGGATTGTGCAGTTAAATGCCTTTTTAGATGAAATATTTAGATTTATTGAAATTTTACTAGTTATTATAATTCAAGACTTCACTTATGTTTTTGGATCTATTAATTTCAGATTGTCACATATTGGAGAAATCTTTAAAAAAAATATATACTCTCCTTGTGAGTCACAAAAATAGAGCAGCATTTTATTTGTAACACTGAAATCCATTGTTTTATTGCAATTAACTATTTTGCACTTTTCTTTCCTTGACCTTAGAAGTGACAATGTTAGCTTTAATGACCCTGGCTTTAATCATTGATGAGAACCAAACCGATTTAATGATGTCACATGAGTCAGCTTTTGATCTCATTTTACTCACCATTAACTCTGCCTGGGAAAAAAAGGACCATCGCCACGATGGATTTAGGTAACCCTTTCTAGGTGCACTTTTACATTTCTCTCTAGTCTAGCTGTCTCTAAATAAACATTAAATTATATATTAATGTTCATAATGGTAAAATATATATTAAAGTTTTTACTTGTCTTTACCTTTATATAATTTTTGGTTTATATCATTTATACTTATTTAAAATGACTTATTTAAAATTATTTATGATGGATTGCCTATTAGCAAATGTCTAAAAACAGAAACAAAACTGTAAAACAATGTATTAGTTACTCATCAAAGAACGCAATGTAAGAATAATTTAAAGTTGTTTTTATTTTTAGTGTTCAAGAACTTTTAGTGTCATTGAGCAAGCTGAGCAGAAATGATAAAGTGAAAAGAATGTTGGTGGAGAAAAATGTTTTGAATCTTGTAATAGCTGTACTGTCTGATGGTAACCCAGAAGAGATTGAATGGGCAGCTAAACTTCTTTGGGAATTATCATTTGATGCTTTAAACAAAACTAAGATACAGGTAAATGTATTAGTGAAATAATTCAAGATCATGATAGCTTCCCTTACCTTAATTACTTTAACAAAATTATTTTTGGCTTGTATCTTTAGATTTGAATGAAGGAATATTGCTCAATCATGGTCTTAGAATACATTCAGGCACCATCATTTAAACTGAATTTTGACTAAGTTTTTGTGTACCAATTTGAATTCCATAAATTTATTTGCAGCTATGACAGTCATAGGTTAATTTCTATGACTGTCATAAATCTTACAAATGCAATATTCATTTTTGAGAAACCTCTTATAACCTTACAGCCAGCTTTATACAAAATAAGATATAAAAATTGAGGTGAAAGTGTCCTCATATTTTAAAAAACTGTACGACCTGGGACAAGTTCTAGATCTGCCCATGTCAGTCCCCTCACTAGATATGTAACATGGATTACCTCCCATAAATCATTTATTGTTCTATTGTAAATTAACCACTTAGCTTAGACAGTGCAGTTTTCAATTGGATAAGAAAAAAGAATATGGACATATTTAAAATATGTACATATTGGTTGGATAGGGACAAAAAGAAAAGATGCAGATATCAAAGTTAACTTTGATACTCATACAACTGAACAGAGAGGTAATCAACATAATGAAGGATGTGAATTAGTGTCATAAATATATTCTTCATACAGGAAAATGAAGCTCTTATGAAGCTAGTCAGTGATTTGTCAAAACATTTGAACAATGCTATTGCTAAAGCTGCACAGGGAGTTCTCTTGGTGACAGGGATGGATAAAAACAAATCAGAAAGTGAGAGAAAATGCTTCATATATCAAACAAATGTTTCATCATCCAAATTATGCCAGTTGCAAATTTCTTTGCAAATTGTGTTTAATTTTTAAAAATTCTCCAATTCACAATGTTAATGAAGCAACTTATACATAATTTTTATCAGGAACAACATTTTCAAGATACCAAAGGTTAAAAAAACATCTATTCTTTTTAAAATAAAAGTATAAAAATAGTAAATACAATTAAATTAAGAAAATGATATTTATTATGATTTCAAAAGTTATTAAGTTACCCAGTAACAAATTTATTTGTGAAAATGTTTAAGACTTTTTCAGTATTTTTTTTTTAAATTTTTCAGTTAAGTTAAAGAAGAGTTCAGATAAAAAAATTGCCAAGACCGGAGGACACATCATGATTAGCTACAATTGGGGGAGTAAACAAAAAATGATTATGGTGAGATAACTGAATTAAATGTATATTAGTTTAATAAAATAAATAATTTTATCATAATTATATCCTTATGCTCCGTTCCTCAATGTAATCTTGAAAATATTTGAGTTCAAATTTCTGTTCCTATTTTATATTCCTCCATGGTTAATGTGATGATCTATTTTGGCTTTAAATTGATTAATTAATTATTCTTAGTCATAAATGATATAATCATAGGACACATTGATTTATTAGGACATTACTTTAGTCTAGCAGAGAGAACAAATACCTTGAAAAGTTTTTTTTTTAATATTTTACTTTTAACACACAAATGCTTGTACATGCGTAAATTGGGACAGATTCGAAATGTTCTTCAAGAGCGTGGCTACAAGACTTGGATGGACATTGATTTTATGGCTGGCTCATCACTTCAAGCCATGGCAGAGGCTGTTGAGCTTGCAGAAGTGATTCTCATCTGCATGTCTGAACAATACAAGGAGAGTAGTAACTGTAGATCTGGTGAGTCATGTTTCCCAGCTTAACATACAGCAAGTTTGTATCTAACAGGGATGGCCAACCCAAAAAAGCTTCACAGGCATTTTCGGGCCTCATGTAATTACAATCAATGTTTAAATATTAAAATTAAAACCCACTAAATGCTATATAGAACTATTTATCCATTATTAATGCACATTATGAAATGAATATCAAAATAAAAAAAATAAATTAGTGGGATTTATGTTTATCTTTTCTGTCACTTAACTTTTTAAAATCAATTTCTTTGTAAAATGATTGACGAACTAATAAGTTTATTGCAGGCCGCTAAATTGACCAATGGGGGCCACGAGTTGGCCACGAGTTGGCCACTCCTAATCCAGAGTGTCATATGTCCAGTTTTATTGTTTTATATTAAATATCATTGAACATAATAATAATAAATAAAATATTTGTTTTAAACAACATTGATGTTACTAATACTATTTTCAAGGTTTATCATAGTAGATTAGTGCATATATGCCAAATGATGTGATTTACCCATACTTTTTAATTATTATGTTTTGTAATTGATCCAATATTCTCTATGTAATTTACTTAAATTATTTGAATACATTTATTTGATATGTAAATATGGCTGTAGGCCCATGATAAAGTGTCTGGAAAGTATTTTTTAAATTTGTTTTTTCCATTGTATTAATCAATAGATTATGCACTAAATGGATCTTATTTAATAAAATTTTGATAGAAAGATTTTTTCAATCATTCCAGAAGCAGAGTATGCATTCTTCCTTAAGAAGCCAATGATTCCTCTGATTATGCAAGAAAAGTACAAACCTGATGGATGGCTTGGTATTTTATTGGGTTCAAAAATTTTCTATGACTTTTCTGGTAAACATCTCTGGTGCTAATATTACTAAAATAAATAAAATTTAATATTTGAAGAGTCGATTTTCAAAATGCTGTATATCCATTTTTGGCATTTTGAGATAATCGACTTTTTCTGCTATACAATGATGGCTCAAATTTTTGGAAAATTAAATGTTTAATTAGGTATATATTCAAAATATAAGTTAGATTATGATGAAAATTAAAATGTAGGTTAATAAAAATGTATTTATTTACTTGGTTGAATTTCTTATTTCGTTTCTAAATGCTGTGTATCTTAGCGACAAAATGCTGTATATCCATTTTGATAGCATAGCATTATTCCCAGTAGCAAATAATTCAAGTTGTTTACAGATTACAAACCACTTACATAACAAAATAAATTAAATTGTATCATTTACATTATATAATTGTGAATGATTAATGTTTTTTATTGATATATTTTAACAGAATAGTATTATAAATGCTGGAAAGTCGCTTGTAAAATGTAATGTTTAGAGTGCTATAAGTTAGCATAATTTGTTTTTATAAATCTGAATTCTAAACAAAATTAAACAAGATAATGTTAACTACACAAGTCATTTTATTTGAATTTAGAACAACGACAAAATAGAAAATAATGAAGTGTCTGATTCAGAGTGTGCATCATCTTCAATAGCAGTTTTGTTTTGTTCCAGGAAAAGTTGATGTTTCTTATTTACATTCAAATCAGAGTGCAAATATTTCTGTCCTTGAGCACCATTTTCTTCTGTCATGGCTGGATCTGCATGTAAAAGATTGAATGTGTAATAAATAACACAGCTAACTCTGTAAAGCAACTTTTTATTTTCATTTCCTTAACACTTCTGATGTGTAGTAACCATAACCAGAATAATAATAATGTAAAATGAAATTTAATGGTTTTTTAATAACGTTACCGGTAACTCACCTTGCAGAACCATTTATCGTGATTACACGTAACCGAGGGGATCTTTCCTCCGCTTGAATGACGAAATGATTTGTCTTTTTCTCGTGTTGAGCTTTTTTTCTTTCTTTTTCGAGATTTTATAGTTCAAACAACTTTTTCATCAAGGCCGTCGTTATGCACCGTGTTTGTTGTTGTTTCGCGTCGTGATGTTTAGTGCGCATGAGCAGAATGCCGCAGAATAGCTTGTCAATCACACTGATTGGTCCGAAAATATATATCACACTCTCTCCCTCTGCCAGAAACCTTGGAGTCACGCTTACGGACACCCTCTCCATGGACAAAAATGTCACGAATATATGCAGATCAGCATATAACGAAATTAGAAAAATCAGCACCATTAGACACCTCCTCTCCTTTGATGCCACAAAAACTCTAGTCTCTTCACTCATTCTTTCAAAATTTGACTACTGTAACATTCTTCTCTCAGGCATTCCTCAACACCACATAGAAAAACTTCAGAAGGCACAGAACTCAGCATGCAGACTCATTTTTAAATCAAAGAAACATGACCACATTCAACCACACATGCGGCAACTCCACTGGCTTCCAATATCCTCTCGCATCAAATACTAGTCTGCTAATCTTTGCTTCAACTCGTTCACTGACCCTCACTTTCCTGTCTATCTCTCTGAACTGTTGCTTCCTTACATCCCCACAAGACAACTACGTTCTTCCATTGACAGTAGAACCCTCTCAATCCCAAGAACTAAAACTAAGACCATCGGTGAACGCTCCTTCTGCTTCCATGGGCCCACGTTCTGGAACCAGCTCCCCTTCCATATACGTCATAGTGAAACCTCGTCCATTTTCAAAAAGTCCCTTAAAACTCATCTGTTTAGGTCCGCCTATGACCTGTGATGCACCCTCCTTGCCCTACCTAATTTTCTGTTTCGGTTTAATCCTGAAGTGTCAAAGTGTCCTCTTTTTATAGCCATTTTCATTGTTTCTATAGAATAGTAGTTACTATCCTAGTGTCTCATTTGTATTTACTTAGTTTACATGTTTTAATAATTGTAAAGCGCTTAGAGCTTTATGATAAGCGCTATATAAAAATGCCTAAATAAATAAATAAATATATAGCATTTTGATAATAAAAAAAAAAATACACACCGCGTTTTGAAAATAAAATCATTTTTATATATAGAATAATATACTACTAAAATTTGTTTTGTAGGTAAATTTTAACACGTCCTAAAGGAACCTGGTTTGCTCTACAAGAATGTACAGATATCTCATTTTTTTCAAAATTGCGGATACTGCGTTTTGAAAATCGACTCTTCATTTGTTTTTTTAATTAAAAAAACTCTTCAATATTTAACATTAGCTGAAAATCTGTATCAATTTTTTTTAAATCTTTATTTGTAGATAATGAATGTTATTATTTAGAAAAAGATGAATTGGAAAGAGAATGAAGTAGCTCACTCTGTGTACTTCTACAGGAGCTGAAATTATCTCTTTGCAAGAGAGAGAGTATTTTTTAAGATTTCTCATTAAAAGCATGTTCTTTGTTTAAGGAAAATATTCATTCGATGATAAAATTGAGGATCTGATACGAGAGATAGGAGACAGAGGGACAAAAACAGATAATTGTGTAAGTAGTATATCTTGCTTATTTTGAATTTACCTTTTTGAATAATTGTTGATAAAAAAGTATTCTTATAAATTATTTCTTCAGGAATTATTCAAATGTTGGCCCTGAAAATGAAATTACTTTTAAGAACAATAATAGCTAGCACAAATAAAAGGTAAAACAAATTATCAAGAAAAGTCTCTTTGCACTCAAATTGTTCAACCATGACAACCATGAACAATGCTAAGTTCAATATGTAAAAAAAAAATTTGCATTATACAAAAATAAAAATATTAAATGTGCAGATTATAAATAAATATTTACCAATTAAGAGGTAGCAGAAATAATCAGACAATATACATATTTATTATGGGAAAAATGTTTTCTTTATATGTATTTACTATTTTAGGATGAATGTGATTCAGCTGTTGTATCTTTAGTTGCACCTCTGGCAGGTAAACCACCAACATCGAAACCAACTGCAGTTTTAAATACAAAGATCTGGATGGAAGAAAATAATCTTTCTCAGTGAGTTATGTTTATATATAAATATGCATAATGAGAAAAAAGTACAAGTAAGCTACTTTAATATTATATTTCTCCTTTTACACCAAACAGCCATGAAGATACATTCTGATATATCTACCTTGTCATCTACCATGTACCTCACGCACATTTTATAACCAGTTATTGCACCAGCCCCATATCTTTTATGTTAAAAGTCATCACAGACATTGAATACAAATATTGATTTCTTTTCAGAATAAGCTGTCTATCTAAGCTTTCCAGTGAGCACCTGTTATATTTGAGAAAATTATCTGTTCATGTAAGTATTAGTATTACAGTATTTTAGAGTAAAATGATCTTTGTATTCAGTGTTTACTGAACTCCAGGGAACTTAGATATTATCTTGTTATTTTTCACATGAATCACATTAAAATCATTTTTATAGAAAACAGATTTCATTTGTTGAAACAGTCTTTACTTTTCTTCAATTGGATATTAGAATTACTAAAGCTACAACAGAAGAACTTAATTATACTATTACATTGCAATAGTTTATAATGCTTAATATCAGCAGACTGCTGTTGGTAAAGGCACCTTTTCAGTGGGTTATCTTCACTGGCACCTTCTTGTGAAGGTTTCCTCAGAGCTGTTGACCACATAGATGCTAATAGTGCTTAATTCTGGGCAGTTATTATTATTATTATTATAGTTGTCTTATATAAGGCGGTACCCCAGCCAAGGGCAAGGCTCACCACGCCTCACATAAAAATGAGCAAAAAGAAACATGACATTAAAAAACAGTTTCATAAAATTATTCATTTAAAAACAGCTTTGTTAAAATATTGACCTCGCCCACCCAAGTATTATTTACCCCTGTCTAGCCATGGACAGCACTCAGCATCGAGCATTGTTTATCAGCCAGAGGGGGGTGAAAATACGTTGGAATAGTAGAGTTTGAAGAGATGGGTCCTGAGTGCAGTTTTGAAGGCTTGGTCAATCCTGGCCCCTACATTAAATACCACTCACAAAAACTAGCTAGTGATAGGGAGGAAAAGGCTACAAAGGAGACCCACCCTCAACGGGGTGTTGCATTTTTCATCATCAATAACACCTTTGTTATCTACAATCCTTTAACATGATCTTTCATGTACCCTAAACCCTGCTCTGTGCCTCTTTACTCTTCATATCCAGTCCACTGGTTGTCTTGTAAATTTCAAATGACTGCTTAAATCTCTTCCGATGCACAGCAACATTTCCATTTAATTCTAGCTGTTGTGGCGGGTGGAGTCAGTCCATCTGACACCATGTAATAGTATAATAAGATACCAGCTCAAGTCTATGGTCTGTGTAACAACTAATCTTTATGCTTCATTATACATTATTTTTATACCCTAACTCACATGATAACTCACTCCAGTTCTCCAATCAATATTCACACATTTAACTTTAAACATTCATGAAAACAACTCACAACATCCAGTCATACAACATGACAACAACTCAGGACTATTAGGTCAAAATGTTCAATCAATATACCCAGTAGACAACAACATCCATCCCTGTGGTGCTACAGCCCATGTAGGGCTTTGGCCTGCCTCACCACTTCCTTCCACTCAGACATAACTAATGCCTTTATTTTTCATGCTTGGACTTTCAGCTGCTGTAGATCTTTTTCCACATCATCTATCCACCTAAGCCTAGGTCTGCCAGTACACAACAACAATCGCAATTCATACATACTGTCACAATTACCATCAACATGGCCAAAAATGTATGACAACTTTGACCTAGATTTAATTCGGCCACAGCCGGTTTTTCAATCTGGTAGCTAATCAGTTAATACTTGTAAATACATTGTAATAATATTTATACCAAACACCTGAATGGAGTGAATAATTCTATTTTATATATACTTTTTTAAAGGCTTTCATTTATTTGTGTCCATTACACTTTAACTTTTTGGAAATGATACTACTCATTTTCTTAACCAAAAATACTGTTTGCTTATTTTTTTTAAAAGATGGCTTTATATCAAATTTTACTTTAATACAGTTCCTTTTTATAAGTTGTGAAACTTAACAATAAATTGTTTATTTGTATATTCATAACACTTCTGTTTTTCAGGTGGGTTTTTGTTTGCAGGTTCAGCTTTTAAAAACATGCCACATAGTTCACAAATATTTTCCTTTTTTTCTTTCCAGGCTCCAGAATTTTACCATGTATTCCTTAAAGACTTTTTATCTGGAAAGGAATCTATTGAGCGTCTTAATTCCATTATGATGGTTTCAGGAGCCATTGAAAAATTACCTAGATAAACAATTTTAACTGAAACTAATACAATTGTTTCATTACTTTGAGGAAATTTTTTTTACACCCGGTACTGGTAATGCTCAAAATGCTCAACCATTTTTTATGTAGCACTATTTTGCAGACCTGTTATTCTTGTTCATTTTGCAAATTTATTAAGTGTGACTTATTTAGTGACTGTTGATAATTACTGGTCAAATGATCATATGTACCACACAATGATATAAAGAATATGTTTCTTAAATTTTATCTGAAAATAGATAATAGCAAGCTCAAATGTACATTATTTTTTGTAGTTTTTACAAATTTTTATTTACAATATTTTACTTTTTAAATTATAATCCTTCCTTTTTTGGGGCCTTTCAATTTTCTTCAATCTTTTTACTATAATTCTACACAGTGCAAGAATATAACAGATTTTCATTAATCGACATTTTTTCCTATAGTCAATTCTGTAGGAACCGTTTTATATAATGCTGTCTTTTATTTTAAGATTTTAATTGTCTTTAATCTTAGTTATAATAAGAATAATTGTAAGATTATTTTTTTAATCATTTATTTCTGTTATTTCTTATTTGTTTTATTTAATAAAGTGATCTTTTAATTTTAATATTTTTTAGACTGGGAATGTATGGAGTTTAAAATCTGATCCATAAATTGTAATTTAAACTTTAAAAACATTTTTTTAATAACTTCTTTCTTATTACCCTTTGAATGCATTACTTGAATATTTACCAAGAGCTTTTGACCTTTTAGTTTTAGGTAGGCTTAATTGTCAATCCTCGAAATATATGGTATTCACATCCCCAATATACCAACCACCTAGGCCTTCAAGACTGCACTCAAAACACATCTCTTTAAATTCTAATACCCTGACTGATTCCCCACTCTGACTGATAAAGGATACTGCTGGCTGCCGTCCATGGTTTGCCATGTAAAAGTTCTGGGTAGGGTGGGGTGAATATACATTTATTTTTGTGTTGTTAAACAGCTGTTCTTTATTGCATAAATGTAATTTATTTTAATGTCACGATTATGTCTCTTTTCCTAATATTTTTATGTAAAGTGCGGTGAGCCCAGCCCTGGGCTGGGGTACCGCGCTATATAAGACCACTAATAATAATAATAATAATATTCAATTTCTCAACCCCTTTTTCTTCACCTCTTCAAACCTGTATCTTATTTCTAAATACCTTTACTGCTGTTCTGATATTCTGTTAATGCCATGTTGATTTATACATTTCTAAAACTGCCTCTGTGATATTGGTACTTTAGTGTATTGCTTTGCAGGTGATACTTGACAGTTTTTGCACTTTTTTAGCATAAAAAGTATATGATATTAATAATTTATTTTATTCAGATAAAAATCTATGTGCTGAGAATTATAATTAAATTGTAAATATATTTTTATTTATTAAATTAAATGATGCAATAATATATTAAATGTTGTAATTGCAGCATAGGTAACACATAAATTAATGCAGAATACGTTCAATAGAATGAGGAACCCTTTAAAGCTAAGAAAGAGTTTCTTTATTTGGTGCTTTAATTGTTGATCCATATTTTTATTATTAGTTACATTTTAGAATAATAAAGTTGTGGTTTGGTACATAGAATATTTAAAAAACAATCAAATCAGAATTATTCAGATCAATACCTCAATGAGTTTGGGCTGAAGTCCCTTCTTGAAGTATTGCTTTTTTGTGCCATTGATTTTTCCCCATTCCATATGTAATATGTATCACAATTGATTGCCATATTGGATCAGAATCAATTTTTTCCTAATTGTTTTGTGCTAAAATTATCTCATAATATAAAAGAAGATTAATGATTATTTTATACCCTCTTGAAATATTATTACTTCCATTAATGTTAAAAGATTGAGAAGCTTTGACGCAATAATAAACCTACAAAATAATATACTGAAAATAAAGACCTTTCAAATTTCTTCATGTTTCTATAATTCAAATTTTCGCCTCCCACAACCATTATCATATGTTTAAATTTATCCACAACAGTATAATCAAAATTCGTTTTTTCTTAACAGTAGCAGACTAGTGAAAAAGCATTCCTCACAGGCTAAAATTTTTTTTAAATATTAGAAAGCAAGTCTTTTTTTAATCAGAGAATTATATATTATATTTGTTTCTTAAACACATGATTTAAGCTAAAACAATGCTTTAATAGATTCTATGAATTCTGTTAGATATCAATATGACCATCTGGACAGGAGTAGTAAAAAAATTCTGTTTCTCATGTGGAATAAGGTAACCAGGATCCCTTTTCAGTTAAATCTCTTTATTTGTCTTTATTATTTTTATGTTCCACAGTTGCAAGGATCCTTGCAATTGTAAGAAAGGGGTGTTAAAACCAATCTCTGAAATTAAGCTATTTGCTGGTTCAGATGTTGAATGTGATAATGTGATTTTACAATCAAATTTAACTGTGATGAATTAATGAAGATAAAATATTGGCTGCAAGAGCTGTAGATAATGGATGTACAGGATGGACTTAAACATTGTATGCGTTGTTTGCATGACAAGTTTTATGAACAATGTTGTAGTGTGTTGTCAGTCTACTAAAAAATATTTTTAAAACTATAAAAGCATTTTCATGCAGCTGAAACAAATTAATCAACATGATTAGACATCAATTTTAAACTGAAGAAACAGAAATAAAAATTATGCACAATCACTTTTAAATTACAATTCGTCACCTTTTTTCTCTTAAGTGAAGCAAATGAACATGCTTGTATCGAGCATTTTATGTGGGCAATATATCACACTTGACAACATTAAAAAAAAAAAGTTCCATAATGGTGTCTCTATAGCAACGTGGACATCATGCTTGAACCTTTTTGACTGGGAGGATCATCATTATCTCCATCTCTCCTTTGTTGTCCTGCACCATATCCAGGCAGAGGTTTTTTTACATCTGTTTCATCATCATCTGTTTCATCCTGTGAAATTTGCAGGACATCATCAGCTTGAGAATGTGGGGAATTTCCAACAGAGTCTTCGCCATCACCTTTGACCTCTGGAATCTGATTTACAGGTTTTTGGTTCTGATAGTTATCATCTACTGAACTAGAATGTGACCTGTCCCCATCATTGCTTTCTAAACTTCTTAACACAGGCCCTATATGATTGACTGGATCAGCCACAGCCCCCACACCAGGCCCTATGTAACTGGTTGGACCAGCACTACTGTCTGGAGCAGTAGGCGAACTGTCTCTAGTATCACTTTCTAAACTTACTTGTATAGAATCTAAAGAAGGCATTTCGTTGGCTGGGGTTGATTGTCCAGGTCCTCCAGAACTGTTTTCCCCACTATTTCTGTCTTCAAGTTTTTGTACAGATATGTCACTACAGTCACTAACAAGAGGAGCTCCAATATGGCTCTCTGTAGAAAAATTAGTTGGGGGGACTAAAGCACTGATGTCTGAAAATTCAGAAAAATAAGGCTGAATTTCTTTAAAACTGCTTAGCAATTCACTTGATTGTTGAGTTATCTGTACAGCCGGCTTTTTATCAGGATTACTGTATCCTGTAACAAACGCTCTTCTGACATTATTTGGTTCTTCTGGACCAAGTAGTAATTGATGTCTGACATCTGGAATGACCTGCTTAAGCTCAGTTGTTGACGTTGCACTAGAAATACTAGCTTTATCTGAATATCTTCCACTATCCGTGTCTGATTGACCATCATCTGACCTCACTGACTTTTGGGTTTCTACAGAATGCTTAAATTTTGTAGAACTCATATCTTGTACATTGAAATGATGCGTTTGAATATTTTTAACAGGACTTTCTAGTTCAGGTGGTTTGTTTCCTTCATCATCATCACTGTCCCCATCTCCATCATCATCATCATCATCATCATCATCATCCTCCACATCATCATTTCCAGGATTGGTTTCAATAGTTTTTTCAGGCAAATATCTGAAAAATTAATAAATCACTGAATTTTCTGATATTTCATTTAAAAATAATTAGTACCGGTATCCTTAGTTGTTTTTTTTTTAAAAACTGGTTGGTTCAAATATATTTACAAGGTAATGAGTCATACTGGAATTTTTAATAGAAATTCCATTAAGTTGAATTTAAATAAATGTTAATTGTTTGAAAAGTAAAGAGATGGTTAATATAACATATTTATTTATAGGCTACATTCCATACTTCTAAACTTGATCTAAATGCTCTCTGAAAAATGTTACTGTTGGTCAAAAAATATACATTTTCTCCCAGCTATTTTTCCACCATAACTGAATCACATCATTCATTCCTTTAAACCATGCTTGTGAACCCTTTCATATATTTCATTTTACTAAACTGAGTTCATGTGCATAAATAACTTTTCTGGCCTAAATTTTATTCGGAACTTGGAAACGCAAATATATTTAATGTTGGCTATTTGGCTGTTACATTATGAGAGCACTTATACAAAATTATTTCAAACCTTTGAATGTCTTCAGGTTCAATCTCATCAATAAAATAAGGGACTTTTTTCCATTGATTGTAGAATTCCAAGCCAATTTTACTGTTGACATCAAAGCCAAAATATTTTATCCCTAACACAAGGAAGGGCACTCTGGCATACAGCATCATACTACCAAGTTTGTTGGTGCAATGCTTGCCTGGCTCTGGCTCTGCCATACATCGAACTGAGCCAATCATTTGAACTTCATCAAAATACTTGCCATCTTTGTAGGGGTCAATCTTTACAAGTTTCAAAATGTTTCTGTCGAAAGTAACATTTACATTATTATTTAAATGAGAATTGTTTTTTATTAACTTATTAGACTTTTTAAAAGGCCTAATTATATTTCCTTGTATTTAGTTAGTGAAAATCTTGTTATTTTTCAAGAATTTCCATTATTTTTATCCTATATTGAGAATTCCTTTTTCTACTGCATAAGTTAGAGAAATTAAGTTAAAATATACCTGTCTACCACAACCCTGTGTGTCCCAAGAATGGTCTTAATATCTTTGCTGCTTATGACAAGCTTTCGACACAAGTGGCAAACCTGTGGTGGCAAAAAGAGCCTATTCTTTAAAATAGTTAGACACAATGTAACTCAAAGCATTTTTAGTACATAACGGTTAAGCTAAATGCCTAGCCCATCGGTACATAAATAAAGTGTTGCATCCCTTCACAAAAGAAAGCTTTCAATCATTCATGCCTAAAATGTAAACACAAATTTATTGTAAGAGTTAAGAGGCATTGTTGAACGTATACCATTTGTTAATGTATCACAAAGCCATAAAAGAAAGCACATGTGATTTTAAGACATTATACTGCATCACACGTCATAAACCACATACTAAATACTATGGTCTTAAAAAAAGGGTGGATAATTATTATTAACGATTTTAAAACTATTACATATTTAAATTATACTTTTTTTTTTTTTTTTTTTTCACAAAAAAACAAAAAAAAAAAAACTTTTAAAAATAAATACTATGGTCTTAAAAAAAGGGTGGATAATTATTATTAACGATTTTAAAACTATTACATATTTAAATTATACTTTTTTTTTTTTTTTTTGCTCAGAGAAAAACACAAAAAGAAACAGCTCTAAACAAGATCAAATGCATACCATTTTAAAGGGCTTTCTCTGCAATCGACTCTCTTCCTGCTCTTTCACATATTCTAATATTTCTTCTTCTTTCATTATTTGCTCCTGATGTGCCTGATTGGACTTGCGTATGAATTTTCTATTCATGGAAGCAATCTTTTGTAAGGCTCTGGTCATCATTTTGGCTTTTTCCTGATTTATTCTCTCCTTCCTGAGAATTTTGTCCATTGCCAACAAAATTGACATGCCGCCTTCCTTACGACTTCTTCCTAAAATTTAGCAATACAATAGATTATTAATAGCAATAAAAATGTTTAAAATCATCTGTGCTTCGATGGAGCAGGTTGGTCTGGAGGGATTTGTATTGAATATGTAATATATATTTAAAGGAATCCCAAAAAAGAATAGTTAGAAAATAGGTAACATACTTCCTGTAATTGTCCCTCCCTCGCCAGCTTCTAGCATCTCACTAAATCCCTTCACAATACCCACACCATCCTTTACTTCTCACAGATACTCTGAGATACCAAACCTCACACATCCCCCAATCCCAAACAATCTCCCTTAACTATCTGCCATTCTGCCCAGCATCTACACCTTCTACACATGCTTTAATTCCTAACACTCGAACAATTCCCCTATACTCCACCCACTTTATCCTAACCTTAATCATCTCCTACCCTATCATTCTACTGACTCTTCCTTTATGACAACTCTTTGCCCCATAAATGTCCATACTGACTCTTCCTTTATGACAACTCTTTGCCCCATAAATGTCCAATCATTTCTACCTCTATAAATCTATTAGGCCTCCTCTCTAATCGCACTCTCTTCCACATAATCCAAATCTCATCCACCCCCATATCTTACCAGATTCTACTTCTCTTTAGCTTTACCCTATCCCGAAATACCCCTTATGATTTCCACCTGACCCCTTTATACTAGCCCACTCGGAAGGACTTTACTTATAATGTGTATACTTAATTATTATAAAAATCATTCATTGTTCACAACCAAACAACAGAAAAATTAAGCAAAATCAAACAGTTGAGAAATCAAACAAAGAAATATTTTCATTTCATTAATTTACAGTATGGATTAATATTGTTGAATGACTTTAAATACTATTTTTTTAATGTTTTATATTTAGATTTACTGTAATCGGTGTCACCACTAAGGTTGGTGTCACTCAGTGCTGTAATTCATAGTGTCAACCACATAGATTTTGCCAGTACCATTGAAGCTAGTAAGATGAGATATTAGGCTTTACCTCATCTTCTTCTAGGTCATCAACAGAGAATGCTAGCTTCAAAGGTTGTTAGTGGAACAATGCCCCACATCACCCGGTAATTGGTTGTGAATGGGACTGAGTTTTAAAAAGGTGGCATAACACTGTCAAGAGAGATTTAATAAGACGGCACCATGTAACATGGCTACGGTGTCTACTTTTTACTAAAATTGTTCTGGAAAGGTACTCTTGTCAACTGAAGAGGAAGTCTGTACAGCACAGGCCACAAAATATGCTGTTTTAAATAAGCATCATTTCAAAAGAAGTAACTATTCCAAGACCAAATAAAACATCTTACCCCTCGTTTGAACAGTTGTAACTTCATTGCCAACATGGTTGTATTTAATAACAAGGTTACATTCAGGAATGTCGAGGCCTTCTTCACCAACAGAAGTGGCCACTAATAGGCGAACATCACCAGTTCGGAATCTCCGAATGATTTCTTCTTGTTCAGTCTGAGTCATACCTAAGATCAAAAAGAAAGTTTGGCAGACTATATGATAAAAGCTCTACTCATTAACTTTTGAATTATCTTTAAACATTGTAAACTGAAGAAATTTTATGGGGTCAGGTGTGTTAGTGGGACGTTCGATTCTTTAAAAAAATAATACAGAAAGTACTCAAACATTTTTAATGAAAGCATATTTTTTAATTTAATAAATTTAGGAATTAATAGATTACACCAGGCCTACCAAATCAGCCTAATTAGTTTAGAGTTTAAGACAAATGTTAAATTCAAAATGCTTTCTAACATGGATGATTCACATCATTCTTAGATTGATGCATAGAATCAAACCAATGAGACAAATAATTTCCTCCCTGTTAAACCATGTGGATCAAACCATTTTACTCAAAATGGCATTATCAACTAAAAGAATTATAAACAACTGCTCCCTAACTATATTTAACTTTATACTTCACATCACAGGAAATGTGTAGCATAAGTAATACAGATGCTTGCACATTTATTCTTGGAGCTTTTGAGAAAAGGCTATTTCCTTCTTAGCATTCTTCATTTCCTAAATTGAGACTTCATGGTATATAAGAAGAACAGGATCCTTTGAACCTACATAAAGAATTATTTGGAATCCAGGAATACCTAATTCAGAGCTTTTTGCACTTTATATTCAGAGTTTGAAAGTTAAAAACACACTATTAGACTGGAGGTGGTTCGGATGACATATTTTTTCAGATCACTTGACAAGAGGTCATTTCCAAAAATAGATTACTGATGCTTACAATAAAATCAATGAAAACTGTGTCTTTGCAGGCATGAATTATAGGATATATTAACAAGTGTGCAGGTCACATTATCCCGGTGTGGGCACTGCATGTAAATATATCTAGCTTTTGCATAGAATTTAAGACAAGTGGAATTGTTTTTCTGTATTAATAGCCAATGCACCATGCCATGCATTCGATAATAATAAAAAAAGACAGGCAGATCAGATAAACAGCATTTGGGATAATGGTTTTTTGTGTATTTGGTGTACTATTGTAATAGTAAAATTCTTTTAAAATTTTATATTTTCTGTTTTCAGTTACTCATTTTAGAGAAAAATCTACACTAACCTCCTTGGTCCACTGAGGCTGCTGTTCCTGTAAACACTGTAGCTTTAAGCCTCTGCAGGTCTTTGTTACCACATCTTTGCAGCCATGATGTCAGTGCATCTGTTAATGCTCTTGTCCTAACAAATATTATGCCACAAGACTTCTCTCCCTTCCCTACCAAGTGCTCAAGAAGAGTATGCTTCAATAGAGTCAGATTAGGATTCTCATCATCGCCACGCTTTTTGAGAACTTGTTTTAAACCTGTATTGAAGTCAAAATGTTTAAAATACTTTAAATAAAAAATTAAAATACTATATCAATCATATTTTAACTATTTATGAAAAAGGATAGGATATTTAGAATAATTTGAAAATTAAGCAATATTTATTTTTAATTTGATTTAACAAAAGAAAAAGGGGACATAAAAAAGGTATTTAAATGTTATTAATGATTAATCTAGATACAAGATCATTGACCACACAAAATTAATCCAAAAGCTATTAGGTAAAATAATTTCACAGAAGCAGCTAAAAATATAATTATATGGCATCCTTCCGTCTTCGCGAGACAATGGAGTAGCTATGTAGGTCTACACTTCGATGAGTAGCTAACTAGGCCAATCCTGGAATGACAATCTCAACTGCATTTCTCGCATATATAATTAATTTGAGTCTAAAAGAGATCATTAATAATTTGACCAATGAGTGACTGATAAAATGTATGCATTTTACCTTCAAACAGAGTATAGCATGTGCTCTCCCCAGATGTTCGTTTTTCATTTTCTCGATACTTGACAAAGTATTTCTCCAAGTAAAAGAGTACATCCCTAAGTTGAACAAGGTCATGAGTTTCAAGAGCTACATTATAAGCCTGTGGAGAAAGTTACTAGCAATAAATACAAGAAAAAATACTAAATTACCTTATAGCAATACAAATTTTGTACCCTTTATCTTATTCTATAGAGAAAATTTGTATCTTTTCTTTGAACAATATATTTACTTTTTTTTATAAAGATTTTCTTAAAGAAATAAAAAGATTTTAATATATAAAATTTAATTGGTCCAATTATTTTCTAATTTTCTTTTTATATATTGTTAAAACTTTCATAAGTAAGAAACATTTGATTATCTCAAGCACCACATGAAAATGTTTTCACATACTCTGTAGATCAGTGCATAAATTTAAATACATACCATAAGATAATCAGAAACTATAATTATATATCGGACAGACAAATTTGTTTCTTTTTCTTCATTACGTGGTAAAGATTTTGCTAGGTTTTTTATCTTTACTGCCCATTGGCCATACTGTTGACTTTTTTTGTCTGTTGGAATCTTCTGAACAAAAGAATTTAATTCTTGATTTCTGATCTCTAGAAATGAAAATGCAAATTAATTCTTTAAACTGAAATACAGAAAATAAATTAAATAAATACTACTAAATATATCATATTAAACTACAGATTATGTAGTTTATAGATATTCTAAAAAAAAAAAAAAGTTTTTTATTCTTTAAAATTAATAAAGTGTTAAATGAATTTTTAGGTTTTAGAAAATGAGATTCATATTTATTGAAATTAAAGATTGTTACTGCAAATGTCATTTTAGTGGTATAATAAGGATTCTATTATATCTTCCCTCTTAAGTTAAAATGTTCTAATTATAGTAAATTCTACTCTAAATTAAAGAACTGGATAAGCAACATGAAATATGCTGTAATTACCCTTGGCATGGTACATAATTATAGCTTCTAACTTTTCCATAATGGACAAGATCTTCTCCACTGGTTGGTCATTGTCTCGTTCATGAAGTTTAATCATCTCTGTAAATAAAGTTATTAGTTGTTACAAAATATAGGAATAATTGGATGCTAAAATTTACAACAATTTGCAATTTTATAAAAATAAAAGTTATTAGAGAAATGAAATAAAATTTATTTATAAATTTATTTTTTGAAATTTTAAGCTTTCCGTTAGTGCAAATTTCCTCTACTATTTCTTTTACTTCCTAATTTATTCTGATTGATTTGGAATATAGATTTCGGGTTTTATATTCAAATAGATATTTTTTTTAATAGTCACTTATAAAACTTAAAATTGAACATGTTTATACATGTGAGTGGCTCAGTATTCAAATTAACACAGAAACTATTATAATAGAAATGACTACTTGTATAGATTTACAAATTCTAAAAAATACCTCCCTCTTTAAATCAAATCATAACTGTTTGTTATCCTACAGGCATATTCTATGTGCTCAAGTTCACTTTATGCATTGACCAAGTGTGTTTTAACTAGAGTTTTAATTATATGATGCTAAATACTCACATTTAATATACAATTATGCTTTCATTAAAAATGTTTGAGTACTTTCTGTATTATTTTTATTTTGCATAATACGATTAAAGTCTCTTACTTTCCTCTGGTACTGGTACCGTCTCTTTCAGCTCAACCTCATACTGTCGAACCATTGAAATACTATCCACATCCAAGTTACCACAGACCTTCAAAATACATTTCACTGCTTCTTCATCTTGAACTGCTTTTTCAACACTAATAGAAGCGGTCAAGCCAACAATCTGTAAAATTAAAAAATATTTTAAATTTTGTTTTTTTTTGGTCATTTAGCTGCAATCATGTTTAACAGCAATTAAAACTATAGTTTAGCTTATTACTGTCAAATGTTTTAGTTTCCTTTTATTGATCTAATTTTTGATATTGAACATAAAAAAAATGATGTTTTAAAAATAAAAATAGGCATAAAACTTACTACTTTAAGTTATAGTTTAAGAAAAATCACAATTATTATGATAACAATATGTAAATTATTTACCTTATAATAAAGAATTTAAACAAGTTTTAGATCAAAACCCTTATCAAACAGCAAACCAACATAGTTGCAAGAGAAGCATTTTTTTAAAAATTTATTGGCAAATAAAATGGTTATAAAATGGTTATAAAGTTTTAAAACTTTAGACTCATTTTTTATCACATTTATCTATTATAAAAAATGTTGTAATGATGTCTAGCTTTCCTGTTAATTATACAACTTTACAACAAGCTTTGAGTGTTTGTCTTGGTGTTTCTTTGAGTGTTTGTCTTGGTGTTTCTTTGCTGTCGAAGGCTTTTTGGCCAAAACTTCCACTTTTTTGCGTTATCATTTTTCAGATTTTCCTCTACCCATTCTATATTTTTTAATAAAAATAATCAAGAATGACGGCCTGATGTATTAAAAAAAAGTACCTGTGGTAGCTTGATTTCAGGATTGGTTTTCTTTGTTTTTAGATATGAGTACATGAGAGTGTTGTAGGGCTCTCCTTTGCGTGTGTGATGACACTCATCAAATATCAGCATTGAAAAAACTCCAAGGTTGGGCAAACAATTCCTATGAAAGTGATTCTCTAAGATCCGAGGAGTCATTACAATAACATCATTGTCAGGCAGAATCATGTGAAGATGCATGCTGTCCTCACTTTCACCTGTCAAGTTTGTCACCTTCGAAAAAAGGTAAATATTTGTTTCATCTCATCCATAATTAGACATTGTTTAGAGATATAATTAAGAAATGAAATTTCAATTTTGTTGTATTTTAATTATCATGATTTTAAAAATATTATTCATATTTATTTTTTAGTTTAAAAAAATATTTAAAACTAATTGAAATTAAAATGGCTAACATTTATAGATCACTAGTTTTCAGTAAACATATTGAAATATTATTATGGCATAAAAATATAATATATTTTAAAATCATATCAACAAATACATAGTAATTTTTAATTATGAAGATTGATGGTTTTGTCGAAAGTTGAAAACACAGCAGCTAGGTTAACTCCAATGAGAAGCCTAAAATTGGATCAAGTTCTTTCTGTCAAATAGAACCATACAAGAAATGGAGGAAAATATCTCAGATCAGCACACATTTGAACAAAGCCCCCCCCCCCCCCCCAAAATGAATATAGGCTCCCCCCAAAAGATCTGCCTTGATTTGTGCACTGTTCCTAATGCATACATTTATGATCTACAGAATCAATAAGTAACAAAGAATGCCTTGTTTTGTTATGCCTTGGTAGTGACTAGCTCAGCCTCCAAAAGAATGTATACAAGATACAATAAGTATCAGTAACAGGCTTTAATATTAGATAATAACATAATACAAGTGTGCACACACAAAAACTTCCACTCCCCAAATCTCTTCCAATATAGAATATTTCTGTTTTCCCAAATTTCCGTCAATTTTCCATCAAACAATTTCTGTCTGCAAATTTCTTTCAAACAAATTTCCAAATATGCAAAAACATACAAATAAACAATTGGAATATTTATTCTACCTCATAAGGCTTTGGTAGATATTTCCCAATGCTTTTGTATTGCTGCATTACCAAAGGAACAGTCCTTGCTAGAAAAGCCACCTTTCTTTTTGGTTCATTTTCTTGTTGGCCAAAAAAGAATAGTAATTAAATATTTATTACTTATACTCTAATAATATATTTAAATAACAATTGACGATTGTACCATTTTTTAAAATCTTAAATGACTGAGCACCATTTAAAGTATAAGATAATTTCAAAGAAAAGTGTATTATCTCCATATAATGTTACTGAATTTTCATAAAATAGGATTTACAATGGCAAAAAAAAAAATGTATAAGTATGATTTTTCTCTTTCATAACTTATTGGATCAAAATAATTTTGTACTAAATTTACAAACACTAGAATCAACTTAAATTCTTTAACAATTACTTTAAAACTATTTATAACAAATGAGTGATTTCCTTAATCAGTTTACCTTTCTGCCCTTTTAAGTGTTCTAGTATTATGTGCATAGCAACTCTGGTCTTTCCAGAACCTGTAGGGGCACAGATGATGGTGTTGCGCCCCTTCAGTGCATTAGCAGCAAGTTCTAATTGATATTGTCTCAAATTTAAACTTGGCTGTTCATTTGAATGCGCTGAAAAAAAGAAAAAAAATGTCACTATTTAAAAAATAATAATTAATAAAATATAATTTAATTATTCTTATTAATAGCAGTTAGTGATATAAGAATTTCTCATAAGAATTCTTCAGTATGGAGTTGTGCAGAACTACATACTAATTTTCTCTGGATGTACACATCAAATCAAATAGGAGCTTTTACCCAAGTATCAATTTATATTTTATCATTTTTATCCCCACAAATTAAACAAAAAGTAGTTAAAAATTCTAGCACTAATTAGTTGTTTATGGAAAATATTGAAAATAGTTCATTCAAAGGAAATTTTACCATTTTCTTGCTCTTTTTCATTCTGATCAGCTTCTTCTGATTCAAATTCTTCATCAGAGAAACTTTGACTATGAGAAATAAATTTTGCTTTTTTATCTTGTGGCTCTGTTGTAATTTGATCATCATTCAGTGCACCCATAGAAATGACCATTTGTACTCCTGGAGAATTCTTCATTTCCATTGAAAGGTGAAATTTACTCTTTTCTCTTCTTCTCGAGTCTAAGAAAAAATAAATAATAATATTTTGTGGGTTTTTTTTATTCTAAGATATTTGGATTTGGTATTAATTTAGTTTTTGATCAAATGCATACATATTATCCATTACATTAAAACATGTTCACTAACCTAGATGAGAACTAGCATTAATTTCATTTTCCCAGTCATCACTCATTGATGGAAGAGTATTAGAGCTGAGAGCTGAAACAGTTGAATCATCATCTGGGAAATTAACATCCGTATGCATGGGAAGCTCTAACCTTACTGTCTTGAAACGAACATTTCCAAACTGATTGGCTGCAATGAATCAAAACACATAAAAAAGACTGGTTTAAGAATACAGTTTTAGCATTAAGAATTAAATTTAGCATTAAAAAAGCTATAAAAAACAAATTAAATGATATTTTAAAACAAGTTTTTAACTGATTTGTTTTCCATTAATTCATAACCTGTCAGAATATACCAGTATGCTTGCCCATGCTTTAAGTAATCATTCAAGTAAGTCAATATTATCATTATGGCATTGAAGTTTTGTTGCCTATAGTAGCTGGGTTTTTTTTTTTGCTTTAGAAATTAAAATGTTAAAAATTTAATATTTTTCTGGTTTAAAAATTGTTATCTTAATCATAATATTTATAAAATGCTGAAAATGAATATGTACAATGTAATAAAAATATATTTCCATTCATTTGGATCAATCAAAGAATCTTATCATCTTACAAAATCTTTACTAAACAACCCTTCAAACTGTAGTAACTTAAATTACCTTTTACATCTTGTTGCATCTCAACTAATTCGGGATTTCTTTCGACAATTGCATTAATGAAATCACATGGCCATTCTGGCTTATTTCTTTTGATAGAATGAATCAACTCTAAACACATCTCATACGGTTCAGTTTTCTCTTTGCAAGTTCTGGCATCTTTCTATAAAGAACAATTTTTTAAATATCAGAAATTTGCAGATAAATAATTCTGGATTTTACTATTTTATGAGTAAACTTAAATTTTTGTGTTATCTAATGGAAAGAAAAGTTTATAAAAATTTAGAAAAGCTGAAAATTGTATTCGGAATACCTCCATAATAAACTTATGTGATTTCATCACATCAATTATTTCTTGCCACTCAGTATCAGACATTTTCTGCGTCCATTTTCTGTTCACTAATTGAAGTATGTATCCAACACATTTCTTCAATTCCACTTTTTGACCATTTATTGCATTAGTAGAGTGATGAGAATTCACATATGCAGTTGAATTTGCACCTGCTGTTTAAAAAATTTGTCAACATTCATAAATGTTTAATTTCTAGATTTGATAATTTTTGTATTTGATAGATATATTTTTTAAATTCAATAAGAAATAACAAATGACAAATGAATGGGGGTACAATATTTAAGAATATTTGTTAGTTATTCTAGAAAAATGTATTATATTGATGTTTTCATAATAAAATGTTGATGCATTTATTATGAAATTTATTTTAAAAAGAAAGTGTGCATGCATGTAAAAACTTAAATATTATATGACACAGTAATCTAAACTCATCTTATCCAATCCTTGATTTAAAACTTTGTGATTTGTTCTATGTTAAACAGTGGCAAAAATATGCCATCAGAGACATATTGGTGCAGTTTGAATTTGAGACAATAGATTTAAAATGTTAATGTATGTAAAAAAAATTTAAAGCCCCCCTAAATAAGGGCTAAATTATATGGTCCTTTTTTTGTAGTGGAATAAATGAGCTACTATTATTACCCCCAAAAAATCGAAAAACAATAATAGAAGCTTAACCAGCATATAAGCTATAAAGACATAAATTGTGATTTTTTGGACTTTCAAGAAGGTCAAAATGCATATTCTCAATCAACAAGCATATCTGAAAGTATTGGACTCTACAAAGTAATTTTTGTGGTCTGATTTGCTAGTCAACAATGTAGATGTAGTATGACTACAAAAATGTCATACATAAATTCAAAAAATCTTGCTAAAGGTTTCAGTTACCTGAATCTTCAGATAATTCAATTAAAGTCTGAACAAATAGATTAAGAGCAGGTTCGCCATTTATCTTGTTCTCATGTACCCAATTCAAAAGCTTTACAACAGATTCTTCTCTTGAATTCTCCAAGTCTGATAGGAAAACTAATTCACTTTCCTTTTCTGAAATTGGAGAACATAGCACATTTTTTTAAACTTTAATGATAACAACAACTTAAAAGTTTCTGTTGTCAAACAATTATTTATATATTTTTTTAAAAATAAACATGCATGTATTTAAACAAAAAATACTTAAATTCTATCATAATAAAATTTCAAATTATGAATTGCATTAATAGTAATAATGAGTTTTTCTGAAATTTTGAATATTAAACACTAAACTTAAGTGTTGATTTGATTCTTTCAAAGAAATTTTGGGGACAACTGTAGAATATTCATCAAACAATCATACAGGTCAAAATTTGCAGGAGCATCTGCATATCAATTTAAAGGGCTAGGGTGGACATGTATTTTTTTTTTTTATTTAAATTAAATTTAATTTAAATTATTTAATTAAAGTTGTTTTTTTTTTTTTTTTAAATAAAATTTAAAATTTATTTTTTTTTTTTTTTTTTTTTTTAACAGATGAAAAAAAAATTTGCATTATTAGATTATTAAATCAACACTAAAAAATGAAATGGTAGCTATAAATACAGTTAGAATTTATTGATCCAAGGCAACAGAGTTTTATATTTCACGTCCAGGGGTTTCTAACCTATAGCCCAGAATCTGGCTTGAGACTTCCAGTGTAGGAGATATAGGCCTACAATTTTCACTGTCAAATTTTAATATTTTTAAAGAGGTCCTGCATGCACTGCCGTGCAAAGGAGGGGGCTAAGGGGGTACTCAAAATCTTCTTTAGATAAGACCTTAACAATGATAAAAAAACAGTAAAATCCCATGTACTCAACAAAGACAAATATCATATTTTTACTGGACTGTCCAGGGCGGCAGTTATTTTGATATCTTGAGGAGCAGCATTGAAAGCTTTACCCTAGGCACTTCTTTACCTATTACCTCAGCACAGCCCTGCCTGCATGACACATTCCTTGTCAATTGTATCTCATATGAATAACTCACCTTTAAACTTCCATTTCTCTACAACAGCTTGTGGATTTAAGTATTTTTTAAATGTGTCAGCAAGTGACTCTGTGATAGTCTGAAGATCTTCAAACTCTTCCATTTTCCATAGATCTCATAATGTTAATAATATAGTTACAGCATTGATGCTCTGTTTTAACTGCAGAAACAAAATTACAAATTATTTATTGTTACTTTACTACACTCTTAGATATTCTCTGATTAACTAGTGCACTTCCACTTGTATGAGCAATCACCAAATACATTAACCAAAATTTATATAGTGTGTGTTTATTAGAAAAGTGGTGAAATAATGTTAAAAATGATCACTGTCATAGTTAAATCAAAGGTAGTGGTTCTCAACCTTCCTAATGCTACAACCCTTTCATACAGTTACTCATGTTTTGATGACCCCCAACCATAATTTCCCTATGGTCTTAGGCAATCCCTGTGTGATAGTCATTCGACCACCAAAGGGTTCGTGACCCACAAGTTGAATACCGCTGCTTGTAAGAAAGCCTTACAATAATGAACAAATTTATTTTTTATTATAGGCTTATTACTTATAGAATATCTAATTTAAATAAATGGAGCAATGGCAGATGATGGAGTTGTGACACTTCATTAATTTTCAAAAACCAGAATACTGGCACACCTATATGTGGGCAGTTTATGAAGATTGTGTTGTTATGGCTAACACAGAATAGAAGTTAGGAAAAGATGAATGTGTAGGGAAAGATGAATGTTTAGGGAAAGTTATACCGATAGTTTTTAATTATTTGTAATGTTTGTTCAAATAATTTAATAAAATGGAGTGACTGAAGTGTTAAAATTTAAATAAGATTATAAGTTATAAAAATATAATAAAAAAGTGAAGTAAATTAGCCAAAAGGAGCTTATTGAGGAGCAAGTACAACTACAAAAATAAGCTAAATAGTCTGTAGTAAATTGATCAGTAGAAGGAAAGTAGGAAATGCATGCCGCATTGATGCAATGAATGTGAAGCAAATATTAAAATATGTTTAACCTTAATTAAATAGGCTACTCTGAGTTAAACCTAATTTCAAACAACATATATCATATTATACATAGTCTTACTATAACAGACTATAGAATAGAGAGTATTCTACTGTCTGAGGTCAACTTAAAGGCTAACTCATAAGACATTGAAGTCATAAAACACTCACATTCTGATGACATTCACTTAGTTATTTTCATAGAGTTAATAGAGTCATACTACTAGTCTAGTTATACAGTATTCAGTATACACATGAGCCATCATAAAAATCACATACTACATAGCCTAAAAAAAAATTAACATTCCCAGTACTATTATAAATTTTATGTAACAATAATAGGTCTCACATTTTTATCAATTTATTATATAATTGATAGTTCCTAGTCTAACAAGTTATGAAGTACTGTAGGCCTTGGCATATGTCACTAGGCTATTATTTTATTACTAGAAAATATCACCCAATGTTATTGAGATAATAATGGCAGGCACTTTAAGACATTGAAGTTAATTTCCACCTGCTATTGCAAAACTCATCACTATTCAATATTTTAAAAAGATGTTTCTATGTAATTATGTTTTCGTTTCTAACATCATTAAAAGTTTTAAGAAGTATTTGGCTGCTATATATATGCCTACCCTATCCCTAGACTATAAATTTTTTTAAATATAAACATGACCTTAAATAACCAAATTATATAAATTATCACTGATTAAATCATTACAATCACTAAATGAGTTAACGGCTGATTTCTATGCAAAATACTTAAGATGTCATGTGTTTTTTTATTTGTTAAATGTTGGTCCTACCCTAAATTTTTTCAAGCACTTATACTAAAAAACATTTCTCTATAAATTGTGAAAACTTAATCTTAAATTTACAACAAAAACTCCATACCATTTTAAATATATTTTATATTAACAGAATTTGATATACTCATATTTTCATTAAAAGTGTAACCTAATGTTTGCCTTTGTTTTCTACTATATTATCGGAAACTCATAAAACAAAGAATTCTTTTATCTAAAGAAGGATTTCTTAACCGTTTTTCACGTCTGTAAAGACCTTGAGTTCTTTTTTACAGATATGTTATTAATCTCATAACAATACACAGCCACTTTACTTTTCTCAAAGTAAAAACAAAATATATTTTCAATTTTTAAAAAAAAATCTTGACCCACCTCTATTTTTCAAAATTAAATTTTCACATCTGTAAAATCACTGGGTTTTGATATTCATGGGTATACATAATATGTAAATGTACCTATGTTTTGTTAACGCCATTGATTTTCTTAATTGGTAAGCATATTTGTCAAAACAGAATCTAACATCTCTTTTTCACAACTGTAATATCATTGGATTTAAAGATATTGTCATCCATGTAAAAATGCACACACCTTATTTTCTACTTTCGATATATATGTACCGAAGAAAATAATTATTTATCAAATCCATTCCTTTATTCTAAAGCGTATCTTGTGCTACCTGGGGCAAAATGATAGTATCGACACCCCCCCCCCCCCCCCCCCCCCCCCCCTAAAATTACCACCCCTTATTTTCTACTTTCGATATATATGTACCGAAAAAAATAATTTTTTATCAAATCCATTCCTTTATTCTAAAGCGTATCTTGTGCTACCTGGGGCAAAATGATAGTATCGACACCCCCCCCCCCCCGCCCCCGCTCAGATTTTAATAAAAATTAATAAAATCCTCCATGGGATTGTAGCACCCTATGTACGCAAACACACATTTTTTGCTAGTCATATGGTTTTTTCATACGTTAAGATTTTATTTCTTTATAATTTTGATAAAAGTATATTTTTGGAATGAATAAAAAGTAAAAACTTATTAAATGTTAAAAATACAAAAATAAAATTGTTTGAATTGATTAACAATTTAAAAAGCAATCAATTATATTTATTAATTTTACTTTTAAGAAGGGGAAAATACATTATCAGTTTGTCACATGTGGTTATTAAATCAAAGAAACTTAGAGCTTTGGCTAAAATAGGCAATTCGTGCTATGAGTCATTTACGTGTTTATTTAAATCAAATTAATAAATTAGTTTTAATTTTATTTCGCAATATTAACAACGCACCATAGAACCCACTAAAAAAAACAGATGTTTGGGTTTTTCCAATAAATGTGATTACGATGTAAATTTTAGATCATAATTTTTGTATTAAATTTTTGTTCATAACTGTCAAAATCGTATAAAATGCTTAGAATAGTTCCTTTATTGTTATTTTGGTAAGCCGTTATTTTAAATGTATTTGTAATTTATAAAAATAATAGTTGAACATTTACTAAAATAAAAGCTAATATATTTTATTTTCTTCGCATTTAAATTTATTCAATTTCCGTAAAATATATAGAAAATGGCTAATAGTTTTTAAGAATACGAGTATTAAAATTGCTTCGTTTCTTTGGCTTAATGGTCAGCCTAGCTCATTCTTATATATAATATTTATTTATTATATACTATTACTATACTTATACTATACTATATAATGACTCTATAATATAATTATGTTTATATAATTATAATGTATATTAATGTCTCATTTAATTAATATAAATATAAGGCATAGTATTAGTATAAAATAAGGCTTATACTTATAACATTATCCAGTATATATTAATATTATATTGGCTTAGTTGGAAAGACTTTTGCCCGTGTTGCCCTTAAACGATTGCAGAGTCTGGCAAACCGCATCTACCCAGAGTTCCAGTGTGGCTTCCGCAGTGGGCGCTCAACAATAGACATAATATTCTTGGTGAAAAGAATATACCTCTTTATATTGCTTTCATAGACCTGACAAAGGCATTTGACTTGGTAAGTCAGAGATGCCTTTTCAGTATCCTGCAAAGAATAGGTTGTCCCCCACGGCTGCTCACAATCATACAGTCATTTCACAATAACATGCACAGCACGATAACTTTCAATGGCACTGTCTCTGAGTCATTCCCAGTCAGCAGCAGCGTAAAACAGGGTTGTGTAATGGCACCAACACTCTTCTCCATTTTCTTCTCGATGCTCCTTCAATTTGCCTTCAGGGACTGTGAAGATGGATTGTATGTCCATCCCAGAGATCTGATTGTAGGCTGTTCAATATCGCCTTCGTGCAAAGACCAAAGTAAAAAAGGTACTTATTCGTGAACTGCTGTTCACAGATGATGCCGCCATAACATCTCACACAGAAGAAGGTCTTCAGGGGCTGGTTAATCATCTATCACACGCTTGTAAAGAGTTTGGACTTTCGTCCCCTCCAATCATACCTATTGAGGGTCATAATCTTTTGGTTGTTGAACATTTCATATAACTTGGATCCAATATTTCTAGTTCTCTCTCCCTCGATGAAGAGATAAATATCAGGATCGCAAAAGCAGCAGCAACTATGGCTAAACTGAATAAGCGGGTGTAGAATAATCTCAATCTAACTGATAAAACAAAAATAAGTGTCTATCAGGCAAGTGTGCTTAGTACGCTCCTATATGGTAGCGAAGTGTGGACCAAATATACTAGTCAGGAGCGGAAACTCAACAGCTTCCTCTAAAGATGTCTACGTCACATTTTAAGCATTCGATGGCAGGACAAGGTGCCTAACATGGAGGTCTTGGAAGGTGCACATATGTTTAGCAAGATGCACCTTTGTTGGTTAGCCCCGTAAGGAGAATGGAGGAAGGCCATATCCCAAAGATGCTGCTGTTTGAAGAGTTGACAGAAGGGACAAGACTTATTGGACGGCTACGCCTGAGATTTATGGATGTTTGCAAAAGGAGCATGAGGGAAGCCAATATTGAAAACAATGAATGGGAGCTCATTGCTGAACAACGTTCCAGGTGCCGAACAACGTTCCAGGTGCCGAACAACGTTCCAGGTGCCGAACAACGTTCCAGGTGCCGAACAGCAGTGTATGAGTATGAAGGAGTAAAAAAGGCAGAAGATAGCGAAACGACTCACGAGGCCCTTGCAACAAAAAGAACAATACGGAAGTCAAGATCTTACCAGGTATCAATATTCTCCTGCAAGAAATGCAGTCGAGATTGCCATAGTTACTCCATCGTTTCGCAAAGACGGAAGGATGCCATATAATATATATATATATAATATATATATATTTTATTTACATAATATTAATTACGTTACAATATCAATCTACCAAAGAATTAAATTAAAACTACTTGATTTATAATGAAAATGACGATAGTTTATAAAGTCTATTCTAGTTATATCATTATAATATATTATTATATAGTAATACTAATAATAATAATAATGAATAATGACTTACTATACTATATTATATTTATTTATGAATTCCTACTTTCATATTTTACAACCACACTTTAGTTTAAGTTAACAGAACAAAAGGCTATCCAGTAGTACCCACAAAAAGCTTTGGTTCAGTTTCTAGCAGGTCTCCTGAGTTTCTGCAATATATATAAATATAATAATAGGGCCATAGTCAATATTATCTTGCTTACTGTAAAGATGCTGTGATAGTGTTTTTGAAGTGGCATCGGGAAGTCCCCTAACTACAACCAAGTATAAAAGATGCTACGTAATACTAAGTGTTCACTTTCGGTTTCAGTATTCATTACAGTAGCTTTCAGTAAGGTATTGTCACGAAATTCCCCTTCATATCATTGCATTGGATTTAAGTCACGACTTGTTATTCTCCCAATAAACTGCATGGCTTAGCTATAAAAAATCTTTTAGGGATGTTTTAATAATTATTAGCATAATTTTTATTTGCACCGGTAGTCGGTAGTAGGAGACCTATTTAATTTAGTATTATTTAGCATTATTATTTATATGAGAGAAGGCTGCAATGGCAATATGCACTGGGACTGGATAATTAAAATGCAGCGATCATGGATCAATCAATAACAAAAATAATATAATATATGTTATTCAACAATAATCCCTGACTGACATGACAAAATTTAATAATATTATTATTCATTTGAAGTAAAAACTTAAGAATTTTTTAGAAAACTATCTTTTACTTCTTAGATTAGCTTGTCTTCGACTTCGAAAGAAAGCCTTTTTTTTCTTTTTTTTTTTTAAAAAAGCAAGTTTTTTAAATATATTTTAACTATCTACGGCCTGCGGTTTAGTATGAAAATTTTAATCTGTAAATTACCCACAAAATGGGCCAACCATACGTAACGTCAAGCAATTTTCGTTTAAATGTAGGTTACCCCCTCCCTCCCCGTCACTATTTAATTTGTCATAATTATAAATCGCATACACCCTCCCACTCCCTCAAGTAGGCTACGTCACACTTTCAAACTAAAAATGTTTTGAAATAAAATTACCAACCAGTTAAACTTAAGTCTGAAACACACTTACTATTAAAGTATTAAATGTATAAGAGTGTATCCCAATCCTCTACTTTATAGCAGTGGCGTCGCTAGGGTTGGTGTCACCCGGTGCGGTAAACTCAAGGTGTCACACCCCCCCCCCCCCCCCCCACCCGAAATCCACTATGGATTTCTTTTTTAAAAAATAATTCCACAGTACGTATAACAATGACATGAACAAATACATTTGCGGCCAGGAGATAAATGTATTTAAGAACTGTGAAAACGTTAAGTTATACATATTTTTACATTAAATTTACTTATTATTTAGAATTTCCTTTCCTGGTCTTCAAAACTACAAACTTGTCAAACACTTGATCAAAATCAGTATTCTTCATGGTATCATTTACAATTGATAGTAGAGTTAGGTCGGAAAGCCTTGTTGACTGTACCATGAATGATCGTAAATACTTCTTGATAAGTCTTAGTTTTGAAAAGCTCCGCTGACATGAAGCCACAGACACACAGGTCGTTAGAAACAATTGAAGGCTTAGCGAGAGTATTGCAAGAGATTCTAGGAAGTCCCATTCCGCTATGAAATTCAAAAATCAAATACTGACCAGTCGATGACTTTGTGAAATTCAATATCAGCTGTATGTCTGGTAAGAGTATCAGATAAAATAAACGTGAAATCACAGACAGCTTGTAAAAGACCTTGTGCTGTACTGTAGGTACCTCTTGTAATCAAATGTACAAGAAGATAACATAAAGCTTCAACCACCGCAACACATTCATCAAATTCATCTTTCACTGTTTTAACAGCAGCATGATGAGCACTCCAACATGTTGTTAGCAGACTTTTCATCGATAGTCCAGTTTGTTCACTTTGGATTGGTTACATGCGTGGAAAATTTAAGTGTAATCGGTTATCCTTCTCTGAAATACGGTTAGAGCGAGTAGTGCGTGCTCTGTAAATATGCACTTTTTCAAGTTAGTGTCACCCCTCGAGATGGTGTCACCCGGTGCGGTCCACCCCTCCCCCCCCCCCTTTTGCTACGCCACTTCAGAGTACATCTATCAGAACAGAAAATTTTAAAATCACTGTCAATTTTACATTTTATTTGACATCACATACGATCTCTCTCACCCCCATCCCAGTGTCACACTTAAAGACAGCCCCCCACCCCCCCCCCCCCCCTTTTTTTTTCCTGAGCATGACGTACTTTATGGACGGTCCCAAAGAAGAATTTTTGTTTAACAACGAATGGTAGAAAAATACCGGGTTTTATGACTTAGCTCATTCCCCAGGCATAAAGTTAAAATGTAGAATTTAACAACTGCTTGCCGTCCGTTGATTAGAGTCTAAATGCCGTAATGCCCTGCTCCAACACCTTAAATCATCCTAAAATCCTACAATTATGACCGATGGTCAATTTTAAGCGAATGGGTAAGTTTTTTGTGGGGTTTTTTTAATCGCCTTTTCGTATTTCCACCTCACCCGCCATCCCAAACCTACCCCCCCCCCTCGACCCTGCTTTCTAGAGCTGTAACTCTGAGTCATCAACTCAGATGTGACCTTACAGGTCAGCACGGGGAAGACTGAATCGACCAAATGAGCGCATCACGTGTGACAATAGGCTATACAAAATTATGCTACAACTTGACAAACCCCATGGAATTGAAAGAGGAAAAAACGTTTTTAAAACTTGATATCCAACTCACTCTCGCCAACGCCAATTAACAACGTGGATGTCCACCCGAACGTTTTTTCCTGGGAAGGTTATCGCCAAAGATCGGCCTTTGGAGGACTGTCATCGTGTGATGACGGTATAGATGAGAGAGACGAAAATTCCTGTTAGGCCTACATGATTGAAGCTTGAAAAAGAGAAAACACGAGTTAACTAAACCTTTCAGTTGTGTACTAAAAACAAGTTTGAAACGTATAACTAAAACTTTAACACAAGACATTTGCCAATGGAAAGTTCGAATGCATTGGCACTACAGGAACGGATATTATTTGAAAATAAAATTCTTAATTCAGGAGTTATATAGGCCTACAGAAAACCTTTAGTAGGCTACAGTTTAAAGTATACTCATCTGAATAATTATCTTTAACTTTAAGCGTTTCCGTAGATGTTTCTTAAATTTAAGACATAAGGCATTAGGAGGGTTGAAAACCACTGTGATAAAGGGGGGGGGGGGGGGGGGGGGGGGGGAATAACTATAAACTTTGAATGCATAGAGCATTAAAGCGAAAAGTGGCCTAGGCCTACAAAAGTTACTTGCTTTTTTGTTGTTGTTGTTGACACACCACTGATTCTCGCTTCTACTCAGCCTACTGAAGGTGACGCACGCGGCTTTTTCCCCACTTCTCCCGGCCCTTGTAACAACAAAAAATAATTTTTAGCTATGAAGTCTTAAAAAAAAAAAATACTGCAATCATTATGTTATTAAAAATCTACAAATAATTTTTTTTTTTTTAAACGCACCGAACAATCTAACCTGTATAAAAGCGGGCAACGCCAGACATACCATCACTGATCAAGATATTTCCAAAAAAAGCGCTTTGCAATATTTGCATTATTTCTGCAATCATTGTTTTTCGATTATTTGAATTCGTCTTTGATTAGGATATTTTATCCGTTGAGTTTTGAATTGGGAAGGTTATAATCTTTTAAATCATTTCAAAATTTCCCTTCCATCTGTCTCAATTTCCCCTCTTATCGGCATAGTTGGAACACTGTCGTACGACTTCAATAGTAGCCTACTAGTCTTTTCTTCAGCTATTGTCTCTGCATCCACAGCAAGTTCTTTTCAGTAGCTTCACTAGGGTTGGTGTAAACCAGTGCGGTGAATTCATTGTGTCTCCCCTTCATACTTACTTATGGATCTCCTCCGAGTTTAAATGCTCTGTTGGCACCATTTTCTGGTGACCAACTGTTCTAGTAGCATAATTATATTATATGAAAATTGTTTTCATTTTTTTTTTAATCTTCACTGCACTGTCTCTATTTAGTCTAGTGGATTCCGAGTCAAAAACATAGGTGGCGCCAGTTCTTTTTGCAAGGGGCTGGGTGTCAGTAAATACAGTGCCGTCTTAAGGCATGGGTACAGTGGGCACTTGCCCAGGGCCCCGCGCTTCTAGGGGGCCCCTTGCTTCTAGGAGAATCACTCTTATAAAGGCTTCATGTTGCAAATATTGTTAATGAATATTGAAAAGTTTTGGCAATTAAATTTGATTTAAAAATCATAGGACAGCACGTTTTCCAATTTTAACCCACGATTTTATTGGTACATTTGAAAATTAATATTATAAATGCGAATCACAAGTTGGAGATTTTTTAAACTTTTAAAGGGGAATAAATCTCGTCAACTAGTTTTACTTCTCTAAGATATGAATCGAAAAATAACAAAGTTAGAGTATTTGTTTAAAATCATGTTACACAAAGATGTTGGCCCCGGGCGGTAATATCCCTAGATACTCCTCTGCTCCGTAGTGAAATTAGTGGATAAAAATCTATCCTAGCACCAGTTAAAAAGTACTAATGAATTTAATTAGGTCACCAATGAATAATTCTTTTTAAAGGCAAAGGTAACTTTATTTTTAAAAAACAAAACCCTAATAACTATATTTTTTCAACAGAAAAATATTTTGTATTCTATGCCTGAAAAACATATTTAGATGATAAAGAGAGCCAAACAGTCACCGTATGTCTGAGATGTAGGCAGAAATATATAGGCATTTAGACATAATTTGTTCCACTTATTAAGGCTCAAAGTCATTTTCATCTACATTCCGGGTAGCTCAAACACAGAGATTGATTTTATTTTATTAATGAATGGCACAATTTCTATTGATCATTTCCCGATGTTCGTTTTTAGCGGGGCACGTGTCAGTCTGAAGGGACAGACAAATCCATTGTTAAAAAATAATTAACGGTATGTTTTAAACGGATTGCTGATATTACTATTATATAGAAGTAATTGTAACAAATGAATATATTTCAACGTGTTTAACCCTTAACCGGGAATACAAAATTAGTTTATAATCGGAGCTCAGAACTGAGGAGACTAGGAAAACGGGTAAACTTGCAAAATTAACATCTTGGTTAAATCCAATCAAAATATCAGTGACTAATACAGCTCATCAAAATAAAACAAAAGCCCCATCTACATCCTCTATTGGAACCAGCCATCT